ACAGGGACCAGTTTGACAACCTGCTGTCAAAAGTAGGGCCACGAATTGCGAGGCAGGACACCAACTATAGGCGCGCTATTAATGCGGCTGAGCGCCTCGCTATTTGTCTCCGGTAAGTTCGTAATTTTTGTTCTTTATGTTTTAATTTTTAAAGCACTAAGTATTTCGTTTTGTATTTTCAATGGGTTGGATATTGGTTGTTAAATGCTATTTACCAGTTGTGGACAAAGTATTAAGCTTTATTTAATAAAGTAAAAAGTTAAGTTATACCACACTGTAAAAATACTCTGATACAAGTAAAAGCCCTGCGTTACTTAAGTATAATCAGGTATAAACATTACTTAATTTAAGTAAAATCGGGAAAATTGACTTAAAGGAGTAAAAGTGAACTGTGACTATTATACCATAAGATTATTATTACTCATGCATTAATGTAAACGCAGAATTTGGAGTTCCTTAGAGGAAGTTTGTTGAGGTGGAAAAAAATTAAAAAAAAAAATTTTGTTTGTTCAAAATAAGCTATTATTTTTAAGTAATTATAGTTTTTGTTTTTTTGCAGATTCCTGGCCACTGGAGACTCCTACCGCACCATAGCTTTCAGCTATCGTGTGGGAGTGAGCACCGTGGCAGGGATTGTTGGAGACGTCGCCAAGGCAATATGGGACGCCTTGGTACAGGAGGTCATGCCAGTCCCCACCTCTGAGGACTGGCAAAGCATCGCCACTGACTTCTTCCATCGGTGGAACTTTCCTAACTGCCTAGGTTCCATCGATGGAAAACATGTTGTTGTCAGGGCCCCTGACAACTTAGGGTCCCTTTACTTCAACCTCAAGGGGACTTACTCGGTTGTGCTCCTGGCAGTGGTGGATGCCCAGTACTGCTTCCGAGTAGTGGATGTCGGCAGCTACGGGAGGACAAGCGATGGCGGTGTGCTGGCTAACTCCACCTTCGGCCAGGCACTTAGAGATGGGACCCTTGCCCTGCCACAGGATGCTCTGCTGCCAGGTGCAGAGCATTTGGGACCACAGCCGCATGTGTTTGTGGCTGATGAGGCCTTCCCACTCTGCCGAGACCTCATGCGGCCTTTCCCAGGACACAATCTTTCCGGCAGGCACAGGGTCTTCAACTACAGGCTGTCACGGGCAAGGCTGATTGTTGAGAATACCTTTGGTGGCGCATGTACAGGGGAGTCATTGCAATCAGCCCTGCCAACGTGGACGCCTGGGTGAAGGCTACCTGTGTCCTGCACAACTTCCTTAGGAGGTCCACTACCATCACCAGGACGCCCATACCATCTGCTGGAGACAGAGGAGCTGCTGGCCTACAGGAGGTCAGCCGAGTGGGCAGCAATAATGCCACACGGGAGGCCATCCGTGTCCGAGATACATTTATGAACTATTTCTCCACAGAGGGAGCTGTCCCCTGGCAACCTGTGGCATAAGCTATGGCTTTAAACGGCTCTTTTTAAAGCCACCAATTAAAAACACATTCTAATTCCTATTCATGGTGTCTCAATTTTTTTTAGTATATCAAGTACAAAATTATTGTGCAAAAATAGAGGACTTAAAGTACATTATGGAAGTGTACTTTTTATTTCACCTGGGTCCCCTACATGATAGATTTGTAATAATACAAAAACACATAACCAGAAATGTTGACAATATTGTATTGCCTTTTTTACTATATATAATAACTTTAAAAAAGAGAAAAAAAATTAATAACTTTAAGTTTTAAACAAGATAGAACAAATATATTTAATTACAGAAACAGTTTTGAACACTGTTAGAACAAGGGAGAAAGCACAAGGTGCAGCTGACAAGACTGCGAGGGAAATAAGCTTACTAACAGCTAGGGGTGCAACGGTACAGATAGCCCACGGTACGGTCCGTACCTCGGTTTTTGGGCCACGGTCTCGGTTCGGTTTCGGTACATGTTTTGTGCAGAAAGAGACTGCTATTTCATCCCAAAAATATGATTTATTTTTCTTATGAGCATAAACAGAATGTCACAGTAGGAAAAACATCAATGTGTATGGAATCCCAATGCACCGGTTATCTTTCTGTGTTTCTGTGAAGATGAACGACTTCGAGCCGAATCAGGCCGAACTGGTACGTCTGTACCAGCATGTTTATGATCCTTCTATACACAGAGACATTTGCATTGATGGGCGACCATAAAAGCCTCTCATTTTGTGAATAGGAACACATTTGCATTAAGCACCCAGTTTGCACTTGTCTAAAGTAATTGGTTACATTTACAAAATAAGCCTACAATAGCAGAAGTAAGCCCTGCTGATGAGGTTTAAACACTCAGGCTTCAATTGTTTAACTAGTTTACATGCAGTGAAAGTAGGCTACAATAAACCTACTGCATTTATTACTCTTTTATGAATCAGCAATTAATAAACTACTAATAAACGGCAAACTACTTCTTCACTGCTGATTCCTGGTGGTTTAGAGGAGAATTACTCCTCGACAGGTCGCCCCCTGTCGTTTCACAGAATAGCACAACGGCGAGCGCGTCAAGTATAAACGCCTCGTCCGTTTGAAGAGGTGCGCGCGCAGTCAGTGGAGACTCGCGCTCGTGCGGACGCGTCGAGTATAAACAAGGCTTAAAGCAAAAACTAAAAGGATCAGCGCGAACTCAATGGCAAAACCGAAGTCCCGCGGGACACGAGGGTAGATTGTCCCGTGCAGGGCTGACCGAACGGTCCGGGATTTTACCGTGTACCGTTGCATCCCTACTAACAGCCCTCACAGACTTGTCAGCTGCCCCCCGTTACTCTCTCCCCAGTGTTCATTGGGATCAGCCTCCAGAGATTTAGCCTCATATACAAGCCTATGTATCTGGAACTTTAAGTCTTGACTGGTCCTCACTGACAGCGTCCTGAAGTCTTCCAGGAGGCTTTGGAAGAATAGGCTGTCACTGTCATCATTACTGCTAGCTCTTTTACTAACAGCCTCCAAAGCTGTTAGCATGCGTTCGTCAAAATTTGGGCTGTGGTGTGCTCTCTTTCTCCTCACTGCGGAGGGCTGAAGGCCCTGAATGCAGGGCCGGCTCTGGCTTACACCTGCCTGTCCCTGAAGGCTGGACTCACACTGTGTACTGTGTGTGTGTGTGCTGTCTCCTCTGCCTGACTTTGCCCGGCCATGGCATATTCTCTTTCCTCTGGGGTCAGGGCTTCCCCAACCATATTACTGTCAGTTAATCAATCTTCTAGGAATGGGTTGAGGAAGCCCATGACCCCACTGTAGCGCCATGGCCGGACACTGCTCGCCCCTGCTCCACTCCGCTTCCTCTCTGCCTCCTTCCTCCTCTCCTTTCTAAATGTGTCTCTAAGCGACTTCCATCTTTTCCTGCACTCATCCGCTAGTGAAAAGACAATAAAACATTTTATTCAATATGTGACTATAATGACATTTATCATTATTTTCTCCAGCTAAGCAATGTGTTGATAATACCACAGGGGGAACAGGTATAGTACACTTTGTTTTTCCTTGCAGCATTTTTATTTATTTAAAAAAATCCAGAAGTGACTGCTTTCATTTTAAAATATATCAGAAATATTTTGTACTTCAAATGTAACGTACTGCGAAATTAGATAACTATAATTATAACCACTGATAATGACATCTAATGAAATTTGGCAGGCTAAAGTAGGCTTTAGTACAGCATCAGTAAATAGCCATATCATAGGTGCTCATTTAATTATGTATAGACAAAAACTGATCTTGTAAAAATTGTCAAGTTAACCTGTCTGATTTGCATCAACAACTGTTTTGCGTGCTATAGGCTAGTGCCAAAGTTAGCATGCAATTCCCGCATTTTTTAAGGAAAATATATAACGCTAAATGCACATCAGCAACTCACGAGAAACACCAACAATATCAGACACCTTCATCCACGCATCGTTTTTTTTGTTTATGTCCCTGTACGTTAACAGGGACAGGTCATACAGCATTGGGAATCCTGAAACAGAAATGATCAACTTCTCCTCCATTATGCTTAGGAACTAATGTGGTCGGAACCAAAGTTTACTTGACTGCGTTCTCTTGAATCCTCTCAAGGGGAGCACTTCTACATTCCGATTGGTTGCCGCCGAACCGCGTCATAGCTCATTACCATAAAGTTGAGCTGATTTCAACTTCTTCTCGCCGCTCTCACCGTCCAAGACGCGCCGCCCTCGCCGGAGCTCGCCGCCGGCTCTCAGTGAAAATGAATGACTTCCGGCCACTTTGACGCTCTCGCCGGCGGCGGTGTGAACGCACAGTAATACTGAAGATATTACTATAAATTACTGACAACATTACAAGAACATTTCTTAAACATTATTTTAAGAACGATTTGTCCTATTTACACAGCTTTCAAAGAATGTTAGTGAAAGTTATGGGAATTTTCCCTGTTAGCTGGAATGATGTCCTACCTGCCTGTCAAAATATGTATTTAAAAACTCTGTGCACCTGCTCACGCAGACGTCACATCATCAGTTTGTTCCTTGAGTCATAGACAGTCACCAAGCGCCACAATCAACCAGCCACCGTTTGCAGTTCCTCCTTAACCAAAATAACGAGCTTACGCTGTTTTCACACAATGTTGAATCACCATGACTCAGAGATGGCAACTTAACAGCACGGATATGCATTTACATTGCAGCGAAGCGCAGACCACTCGATGTAAGAGTAAATAGTAGTCATAACTTTTATTCTGGATGGATTTATTTATTTCATGAGCGGGGCTGATCTTCGGTTGACCAATCAGTGGAAAGGGGCGTTTCATCCCCGCCCACATGTGAAAATCAAATATTCAAGCCGTTTATCCATTTTCTACCCCTGAACCTAAAAACATAAAATCAAGCTGTTTTCACCCTCCGTTTAAAAAAAAAAAGAAAAATACAAAAAAATGAATAAATGTGCCATTTTCTGATTTTTTATACTTTCAATATTAAATTAAAAAACTAATGAATGGAACATACACGGACCGAAATAGCTCCTTTTTCTTGTTCACACTGAAGAACACTGCAATGTATTTACAGGATGAGTTTGCAAATGACGCTTCAGGTCCTTTTGATATGTGAAACTCTTTTTACATTGAAGACACTTGAAAGGCTTTTCTCCAGTGTGAACTCTTATGTGCCTCTCAAGGCTTAATTTAACTGTGAAACTCTTTCCACACTGACGGCAGGTGAAAGGCTTTTCTCCAGTGTGAATTCTCACATGAGTCTTAAGGCTTGTTTGGTTTGAGCAAGTCTTTCCACAATAATGGCACATGAAAGGTTTCTCTCCAGTGTGAGTTAATACATGATTCTTAAGGTGATCGCTGTCTGTGAAACTCATTCCACACTGATGACAAATAAAACAGTTCTCTCTTGAATGAATCCTCCTGTGATTATTAAGGGTCACTTTATGTCTGAAACTCTTTCCACACTGATCACACGTGAATGGCTTCTCTCCAGTGTGAAGGTTCATGTGACATCTTAAGTTTAGTTCTGCTGTGAAGCCCTTTCCGCACTGGTGGCAGGGGTAAGGCTTCTCTCCGGTGTGAATTCTCATGTGCCTGTTAAAGCTTCCTTTTTGAGTGAAACTCTTTCCACACTGAAGGCAGGTAAATGGCTTCTCACCGGTGTGAATGTTCATGTGGATTTTAAGGTTTGCTTTTTTAGTAAAACTCTGTCCACACTCCTGGCAGTTGAAGTAACTTATAGTTTCTGTTTTAAAAGCTCTTTTTAGTGAGGATGAATTTTCAGTCTGTGAGCAACTAAATCTTTCTTCAGTGGTGAAATCATGATGTTTCTCATACTGGTCTTTTTCCATTTCATCTAGTACTTCACTCTCCTCTTTCAGTAGCATCAGGTCTAGGCGAAAAGAGACAAATACAAGTTTAATGCCACTAACAGACATCAACACATTTAGTCATATAAAGCATCAAAACCAACAGCATGTATCCTACAAACATTAGATCCTATACCCACAAAGTAGATTACAGGATGACGTGACGAAAAATAATCTTTCGTCAGCAGCGCCTTGCATCGCCCATAGACCTTAAAACAATCAGCTGATGGCCGGCGGGTGCGGCTTTGAAAATTGGTCAAAAAACGTTGGTGCGGATGGATGGCGGACGGATAGCGAGTTTTGTGATGCAGTTGCGGATGAAATAAAAGCCCATCCGCGCATCTCTACCACAAAGCTAATAAAAGAGGCGTTACCTGTAATCTTGTAATACTTGTAATATTGTTTATTCTTTGCTTTGTTTATGACATGTCTCAAATAATTTCAAGCTGGCAGTTATCCAATCCGGTCTTATTTATAAAGCACATAATAAAACAACATCGTTGACCACATTGCTGTACAATGTAATAAAATAAAAGTAATTACAGAAATTAACAACCACAAATTTAAAACATCAAAACAGACCATTCAAGGACATCTCAGACGAGTAGCTATAGTGACAATACCACAACGCTCATACCTGATCAAAAGCTAATGTAAAAAAATTAGGACCCTGACTGAAGATTTTCTAGTCGACTAGTAGTCGTTCATTCAAGTCATTAGTCAACTAATCGCATGTTTATATTTACTTAACTCAAATAGCCTACTGAGGAGAATCCTAAACCATAATGAGCGTTTAATACAGGCGTCATATTATAGTCTATATTCCGAGCTTAAGCACACGCATAAAGTTTGACGGCTAAGCATCAGCAACAATAGCAAGGAGACATTTTAATTATTTATTAATAAACTAGCATTTTCTGTTTCAGTGCAAAAGATGAAGTTGATGATGCTGATTCGCCATCTCCGCAGTGGACTATACTTTATCTTCTGCACTCCGCACAAACACGGATATGTGCCTAATATTAGCACACATTTATAGGTCAGCGTTAAAGCGAGTGACCATGTAAAATTGCAACTTGCATATTTCAAATGACAAGTGATATTTGAGGTTGACACACTGTAATTACCACAAAGACCCGCCATTAAGGATCTGTCTCTCAGGGACTCCGTGACTTTGCCACAAGCAACTTCTTTTCTGCGACTAACTGACTAATAACATTTTGGTTGACTAAGCCTCTTCTAGTCGACTAAAATTTAGTTGACTATTAGGGGGTAGCCTTTAAAAAATATGTTTTTAAATGTTTCTTAAATTTATTCAACGATGATGATTGTCTCATATACTCTGGTAAACTGTTCCTTATATTATGTTCCTATTATATTATGCACCTCTGGACTTCAGTTTCGATCAAGGAACGTGCAGGGGATTTTGCGCATTAGATCATTAAATTTTCTCTGACTCATGAATACGATCAGCAATGTATGGAGGGCTGTACCATGCAAAGATTTAAAAACAAAGATTAGAATCTTAAAATTAATTATACGAGGAACTGATAACCAATGCAATGATCTCAAGACAGGGGTAATATATTACCAATTATAAAACAGTTAGTTCCAATCCTTGATTCTGATTGGTCAATAGCTGTGCTTTATTCATGATAAATGACCGGTTATGACTGGTTCACCCAACGGTTCTATTTATCACTGCGCAACACCCTTAGCAACCACCCGTATCAACATAAACATTAAGAAAAAAAATTTACTAGGTGGCATGACAGCAGATGAGTGGTTTGAGGAACAATTTGGCGAGACTAATACAAATATGAACCGTCATGCTCAAGTGCTGAAATATAACATTAAAACATTCGAGAAGACTCGCAATGAAAAAAAATACCGTGCAGCAAACCCGATGGGCAGTGAAATGCTTCGGGTGACTAGTGTAATGACAAGGGTTGCAGCATTGATTTTAAACAAATCACCAAGACGGAACTCAACGCACTTCTCCGTGACTTCTACAGAACTGTCAGAAGCTCCAAAGGCGAAAAATATGGCATTAGTAGATATGTAGCGTTACGTGCGGGTCTGAACAGATTTCTGACCGATCCACCTTTGAGTTTGTCCTGGTGTCTAATGAGAGACAGCGAATTCACCTCATCAAATAATGTTTTCGCTGGAGTCATAAAGACAATGAGAAGAGAGGGTCGTGATAAAACGGAGCATCACACACCAATTTCTGCGAAAGATTTCAGCACCATTAAACTGTCTGATGCGCTTAATCCTAACACACCTGAAGGACTCGTAAACAAAGTCTGCTTTGACGTGCAGTTAAATTTCCCCAAGTTAAAGCGGACTTATATTTTGACGGGTTGCCATGAAGGCCTTTGAGTTTCTGTGTATATGACGATAGTTTTTCTCAAATGAAATGTTAATGCTCTTGAAGTGACTTTCAGAGCGGCTCAAGAGATGAATTTCATCATGTCATGATATCTTGAGGCAGCAGAGACTGAAAACAGCGCAAGCGTCACTCGTGCTTCAGTGTGTGTGTGTGTGTGAGAGAGAGGTAACGTTAAATGAAACCGCGCGTCTGCGCCATTCATTCACAGAGATAAGCAGAACATGCAGGGTTAATAAATAGTCTTTTTGCAGTAATATACACAGACACTATATCGTGGTATATATCGGCTACAGTGCTCCTAGTAAAATAAAAAGTTAGTCTGGAGCCCCGCGCTTAGATAAACACGGAAGCGACTGAAAGTAGTTCTTTGACATTTTAACACGTTATAAATAACCTGAAATAACATGGACACTCTTCGCGCCATTGTGTATGACGATTGCTGTTTGTTTTGGTGAAGGCCCGCGCGGGCCAGTGACTGCCCAATCAACTAGCCCGACATACTCTTTTACTGGCCCCGGGCCATCGCTTATGTCGAGCCCTGTTTATATGAACAAAGACATCCAGATATCGCTGTAGCTGAATAAAAGGCAGATACAGATAAGAGATGATTGCATTGATGAAACATGAAGACCATAAATATACAATTGCGACAATATCTGTGTTCATCTAGGTATTTTCAAAAGAATATTTATAATCCAATACAGGACTCCAGACTAAGGCTGGTTTCTCACCATATGCGCTAGCAGAGCGTAAGCAGCGTGTATTTTTTCGGCGCCCATGTTAACAGGTAAGAGCATTCACACTGTACCCAGAGGCGTCGCAGAGCAGATGCAGCAGTGCAGCGATCATTTCAGCACCGAGTCTATTTTTGCTGTGCCACTGCCGCTGAATTAAAGCCACAGTGCATTGTTCTTGATCATAATTGATCTGATTAACATGAAAAATAACATTTCACCATAAATTCATGTAAGTGAGGTGTTTTGTGTTTAACAAATCAAAATAAATGTGCTGTGAAAATAAATAAATCAAATACTCAAACACATTGCCTGGAGTTTTTGGCCAAACTTTTTATTATTAAGAAATTAACAATAAAAACATACTATTTATTATTGCTATAAAGAAGTTATCTTGCAAATTTGATCTTGTCAGTCATAAATATAATAGTATTAAAAAACAAATTAGGGATGCATTTTTGCTATTCGCAGTCCAGAGAGAAAGAGATCTCTCATGCGGAGTCACAGCGTGCTCAAAACATCAGCCCCTGCTGAAATAAACAGGACAGAACTAAACATTCAAATGTATGGTTACACTTAAGACCTGTGATATTGTGGCAAATAAGAGAATCTGTCTCACAACATTGTTTACTTTCACTTTCATTTTAGCGTGATTTTGGGTGGAGCGTGTCAATTAACAACGAAAGGAAGTTGTATTTAAAAGGAGTGTGTAGTACCTGAATCTGGAGCGTCATCCGTTTGTTTGCACATGAGGTTTGCCAGTATGAGTGATGGTTTGGTGGAAAGACGGCGTGCGTGTCAATCAGCTGTTTCATGTGAAACGTAAAATGTCTGGTGCGTGACTGAAGCAGTGCGCTTCCAGACCGACCGTCGTGAGCTGTTCTGAGGGCAATGCGGAAAGCTGCTTGTCCACCTATCTTGGTGTCTGATGACCCGCGATACTCATTGGGGCCTTCAATATCTGCAAACTTGGTCAGTACCTCTGCGCCGCCATTACACGCACTTCTATCCATGCACGCACCCACTCGCATAGCTTTCATATTCGCACATTCTGTGTGCTTATTTAAAATTATTGTGCTGTTGATTTAATGTTGGTAATTTACCACGAATTTAATGAGATGTTTATCCAATGTTTTCTTTTTTTTTTCCTCTCTCTTTTTTTCCTTATGGACATTTCGTTTTTTGAATGAATGTGGACACGAATCTGCAAACGTGGATAGCGTGACGCGGTCGGTTCCCGGCACGGATCTCAACGGCCAGAGACCGCTAGTGTGAATTTCACTTCTTATTGTTTTTTTTTCTCTTTCTTCTTTTTTTTTGGGTCCATTTCGGTTTTTTGTGTGATTTATGATTATGAACATGTGTGGAAAAATAAATATCCCTTGCGAACTGACCTTTTTTCTGGGATTATTATTATTATTTGTTGTGTAACAGGTGGTTACCTTTTCTGCTATCCTGGGTTAAGTTAATTGTTTGACAGGTTTAATCCTGTCTGGCGCCCGAACTTTTCGTTAAAGACATTTATTTGTATTAGGGCGGCTGCCACCGTTACATATTAATCTAATTTTATTCTAGATTTGGGAGAAAATATGGTGCATCAGATCTTCTTCTTTTTTTACCTTTCAAAATACAAAGCAATGTTGATTATGTTCTTAATTCTTAACAAAAAGAACGGATAAAAATAGCATTAAAGTACCAGATCGTTAAATAGCATTAAAGTACCAGATCGTTAAGCAGTATCGTAAGACTAGTAATACTGTGTCCCTAGTGATTGATAATAGGAACTTTTTATAAGCTTGATAGTCTTGACAGTTTGTTAACATGTTTTTTTGAAAACATACTAATTGTTTTTATTTCTATAAAAAAATCAAAACGACGGTGGGGACAATGCCACTGT